TTAGAATTACAAATTTAAAAAAAAAAAAAAAAAAGATCTCTGTCCAATTTTAATTGATTTTATAACCGTTTTGTCTCCTCTTTGGATTTCTCTGTATTTGCCCATTATTATAATATTAAATTATAATTGAAAATTAATTTTTTTTTAGAGTTCTTGTATTAAAATAAAATAATACCGACTTCTTTATTTTATTATCTTTATGCATTCTTTTCAACTCCGAAAAAGAAAAAAAATTTGGACAATCGACCCATCGTCGCATTTTACGACCTAAATTATATCACTTATGACTACATTAGGTCCAATCAAAATCAATAATGGTCGATCAGAGAATATAATGTATGTCGCATACCTCGTGCGATAGTTTTGAGCAAGATAAGCGAGAATTAAACAGAGTTGAATTTTGATATGCATGTATTTTTAAAAATCGATCTCTTACGTGACGACTAGAGATTTGAAAGAACGATCGATTTTTCTCTCGGTGTGCAATTATTTTCTCTCTTTTTTCTACAAGGTATTCGCTTCTAGTATCTGTTTTACTCATAGAATTAATAATAACATTTACAAATTACAATGTACTGTTGCAAAGAGCAAATACGTATCTAAATGCGAAACATACCGAATCGCATACAAACGCGTGATTATAATAGGAATATTACGTAATCAAAATATACTTCTTTTTTACCACCTCGGTAGATACGGAGGATTCAAAACATACGGTTATATACAAAATTTCTTTGATATTAAAATAGAATTTGTGGAAAATATGCAATTCTATTTCTCCAATCTTCTAAACTAAAAGTTACAAAAATATATGTGATATATTTTTCACATATATGTTTACATATATAAATATATGTAAATGTATGTGTTATTTTACATATAATAATGTAAAATAAAAATAAAGATAAAAATAACAGTATTATTATACTAAGAGAAAAAGAGAGAATATAACACAATAAATTCTTAGATGCATAGACTAATGCTAATCACAATTATTTCTTGACACTATTAAAATGAATAATATTTGATTACATTATCTATATAATCGCAATTTTATTAATCTTAGTGTAGAGAAAAGTCGATTTACATGTTAACGCAAAACAATAATGCCGACAAGAAAATTTGTAATTATATTTTAGTAACGGTTGTCAGAGATATCAGATCAGTATATTTTCCATTTGTCGCGCATCGTTATTTCTAATCGCAAAGAATACGGCACGAATACTGATTTACTAAAAAATAAAAAGAATGAGACAGGTGATACATCTTTAGAAAACATCATATGCGCGGTGGAAGATCGGAATGCGTTATGCAATGTAATCTATTTTTATGCAGACGTCCACGTTATATGTATAAGTGCGTATTTCAGATTTGTGATCTTTTTAAAAACAAACATGACTCAACTTGTTATCTCAGATTTGTTAAATTCTCGATTCTGTTAATATATCGTCATTTTCTGAAATAATACAGATGTCAATGAACATACTTTTAGAAAAAGATAATCGTCATCTAATTCGATACGAGAAGAACACCAAACGAAAAGATAAACGATTTCTAATTTTAAATTTCAGAAAGGACGTTATTTCTCTTTCTTTCTCCTCTCTCTTCTTTTTGAAACACAACAAGGCTTGACGTAGTTTTTAATTTTCCTCTTGTTGCATTTGGAGCTCGCGCAAAAGTTGCGCACGTTGTTTTTCTAGTTCGTCTTCGGAAAGTTCATGATGCTCATTATTTTCCGTGACAGATCCCTCACTGTGAACTGAAGGTCTCCTGTGCTTTTCCTCTTTCCGTTTTCTTTCTGGAGAAGCCTCCTCGGAAGATGCAAGTCTCGAATGAGAGCGCTATGGAAATATTGAGAGAGAAAGGTGATGAAATATATGAAATCTATTTTCAACAAATTTCAGTAATATCATTAAAATACATACAGAATGACTACGACCTCTCTTCCGTTTGTTCTTCTTTCTCTTAGATTTCCTCGTTTCCGATTCAGAACTGTCGGATTTACTGGGAATACTGGGTGAACGTGACTTATGCCGTTTTCTCTTCAAACCTTTGTCACTACCTTCCGATTCCTATCAAGAAGAAATATCAATTTTATATTATTTGCGCTCATTAAAATTAGAACTATTAAAAACAGAAAGCAATTGCGATAATTTAATGATACTCACGCTATGCGAACGCGATCGTGATTTACGTTTCAACTTTTTCGCCTTTTTTTTCTTGCTTCTAATATGATGATGACTGCAACTCTCCTCAAGTTCATGCTGATATTCCTTGAATATGCGTATTCTTTCGCTTTCTAAAGTGATCGCCTTGAAATCTTGTTCTTCCTCAATTTTCGCCCTCACCTCTTCCCATGTCATTTGATAGTCCACATTTAACGTCTTGAGTAAATTTTTGAAACCGGTCTCTAATTTCTTAAACTTTCGCGTTTCTTCCTTGACGCGTTCCTTTTCGCGCGCTTCTGCTTTTTCGAGCAATAAATTGTATGTTAATTTAACGTTACCCGCATCTAGAGTGGCCGACTTTCGGTCTTCGCACACGACTGTGGCGAACTCCTCGAAAGTCGTATTGACTTGCACTTCGAAATTCTTGTCTTTAAGTATCTCACGAATGATCTTTTTCTCATCGTGGAATCGAGACTTCAAGTCTTCGACGTAAAATTTGAAAAGATCTAAAGGGGTCGAACCCGATTGTCCGAGCATAGCCGAAAATCGAAGATCGGCGGACAGCATGGGATACAATTCCACCCACAGCGACATTGACGTGAGTTTACCTTGTTCGTGAAGTTCATCAAGTAAATACTAAAACACACAAAAATTATAATTAGATTAAAATAAAATAATTTGGTTATATTGCTCTTACATAAAATAAATCTATACTTTGATTACTTTACTACAACAAAAATATTGAAAGAAATATAATAACTACAACTATAAATCGAAAACAGCTTATGATACTTACTATGAAACCATCTCTGTTTTTCCTTTCCTGCCGTTTCCTACGTTTTTTCTCACACTCCTTCTCTTCTTCTTCATCCTTCTCCAATTGGCGAATATGATTCTCGAAGACAATCAAAGCATCCTCCTTGTCCATCTCCAGTAAGTCTGCATCTTCCGCAAACGCAGGATGCTGTAGCAACAATGCCTGTGCTTCCTGCCATGTGGTCCTGTACGTCACTTCGGTCATGGTATCCAGAACTTGCGCCAGTCTTTTAGTATTTCTTTTCTTTAATTGTTTCGCCTCCTCTTTCTCGCGTTTTGCCAGATTGAAGATGACATCCTCGTAAATGTCTCGGCGATCCGAATCCCCGACAGCCCTCCAAATCTCCAGATTACCAAACAACTCCTCGCACTTGTAATACTTAGTTGTACTCATCATTCTATCGTTTTCCAATAAAAATTGCTCCAGATCTTCCTTTGCCTTTTTCAATCTGTTAAAGAGATACTACCTTATTATCTGATTCAACATATAATCTTATAGTTCGATAAATAAACGTGAAAGATCTACCTGAGTCTCTCTTGTTCACGCTCTTC